CGAAACCGAGCTTTGCAAACACTTGAGGGCCTGTGCGTTGAAGCCATTTTCTCTTCACTTTTTCAACCCCAGTTTCGGGCTCACAAACCTGGACGGAAGATTGCTGAGGCTGCCAGTGGACACTGTCACAATTCTCACACTGGCCATTTGGCCAGGAGGAAGTACAGTTGAGAGAATTCGTGTCCACACTGCATCTACATGTGAAACCGTTTTCTGGCCCCGAAAACTTGGCTGCGGCCTCATAAGCATTCTGAGTCTTGCACTACCCCCTCTCCAACAGCAAGGTTGCTCTGGCATCTATAGCGCGCTTTGCACCAAGCTGCATGCCACGCAACCGCGCGCGATGTCTCTCGAACCTGGGTACTGTGGAGACCCTTTGTGCAAGAGCACATTTTCTACGGGTTTTTTTCGGCTCGTTAATGAACCCGCCAAACCGTCAAAATGAGCCACTCCATTGACGATTTCAACAGAAGTTGCACTTTGCTCCACGGTTATGGTCGAAATCATGTGGACACTTGGTGCAGAGCACGGCATGGTGGAGCGTGACGCTGCAGGATGTCCGTCAAATCGTCGCCTGCCCCCGCATGTACTGAATTCGGTTGCAAACTTTGCATACACTTGAGAGCCGCCTCGATGAAGCCGAAATCGCTGACTCTATCTTTCACGCTATCCAACACTAGGACGGTTTTTGAGCCAGTTTGAGACGCCAATACAGAGAAAACTGTGCCCGGGGCGCTGAGGAGTTTTGAGGGAGAGGGGAGAAGGGAAGGGGAAGAGAAGGGGAGGAGGGGGGCATAGCGCCCGAGTAGTGCCAGAATTAGTGTCTTTCATCTTTCTCTCTCTTTTCTTTCAGTATAAGTGGTCAAGAGTAGGTGGTTCCTTAATGCCCACAAGCCGGCGTGCAATCTTGAATTGCTCAACATTGTGAAAAATACTGACTTTGGAACCGATTTTGGGTGGGATTGATCTCGACCAACATTAATGGCGGATTTGCGTCAGACGGTATTGATTGATTGACAACTGCGAGCTTCTCTTATTGAACTTTCGTTTGCGATTGCTTTGCTCCGGCATTTTCCGTCAGAGGCTTCCCACTGTCTTTTTTTTGCCTTATGGGAGCGCATTGGACTGCTGGGAGGTCGGATCATCGGCGATTAAGCTGCGCGCGATAACGCAGTTGGGTCTTGCCATTACCTTCTTCCTTTCCGACATTGAGAGTGTAGCTGAAGTGCCTGTATTAGCATTGTGTCAGTCGACATTGCCATGCACATTGTCAACGTACAATGGCTATTGCGCGTCAGGATGGACCCATGGCAAGATGCTCATTGGTGCTGCAACACATATTGTCAGCCATTTCTTTGATCAGCTGACAAATGTTGCTGTTGGGTCGACGATTTCTCCAACACAATTGATTTTGATTCCAGTCTATGGTCTTAACCATGGTGATTCATGGCTGCGCGAGATTGTGTTCAATGCCAGATTTGGCCTTCAAAGGCGACCGTGCCATTGTCACCGGCCTTGCAGCGTTCTATTGGTGCCTTGTGCTTCCGGACAGTGGATTGAGAACATGGCCCAGGGCTTGCCCACGGACGTGTCGGCATTGCCCATGAGCCAATTGAACCCGTGCTTTCAATTGGGAACAGCATTGGCAAAAGTGCCTGCATTGGGAGACAGGGCTGCATTGCCGAGACAGAAACATTGTCTGCACAATTTTTCAAACCCTCGATTGAACGCACAGCTGGAACAATGAAAAATCGAGATGGGTTTGGAGGACAATTGCTGTGGCATAATGTCAGCTATTTGTCGTCGTCCTATTGATCCTATTGCGGCATATTGACGGGTGAGAATGGCTCATTCTCATTGAACGCAAGGGAGGTTTCCCATTGCTTCGCCATCAAATTGCAGATCATTGCCCATCAAGCCATTGGTGGTTATTTGCAAGATGCATTTGCCACCGGCTTTGCCAGCATTGGAGTGCATCGACATGTGGTCATGCCACTGTCGATTGCCGATGCTGAGGGGGCACCGGCATTGTCATTGCTTAATTCCAGAGGAATTGAAGACGAACAGTACACGCATGACATTGTGCCGCCACCGGCCCCAATTGCTGAGCAGCAACAGGTGCGATTGACATTGCCCCGCAGCATTGAGGTCATTGTCACGCACCGCGATTGAAGACGGCGTTGAGCCAGCGGCTTCATTGGGCGATCGGCCGTGTATTGGTCGGGCCCTCGTGCATTGGGCGTGGAGCGCCCATTGGCAAAGCTTTTTCGGGCATTGGCTGCATGTTGGCCTGGCCCCATTGGAGAGGCCCATTGGGATTGCAATTCTGCAAAATTGCTTCTCCATTCCGTACCGATGGCATTGTCCGGGATGACGGCATTGGGAAGTGATTTCTTTGTACAGCCAGATTGCATGAGCACAGATTGGCCCCGCTAAAATGAAGACATTGAGCCGATCTGCATTGGAAGTGATTGCACACATTCTTGCAGCATTGTTTGTTGAGTCGATTTTCGAATTGCTTGATTTTCTTATATTGGTCGTTGAATGATATGATTTCTTAGTGATTGTGGCCATTGC